CCTCCGGGCGGCCCGCCTCGCACGCAGTTTACACTTTTATCACAGCTGGTTCAGACCAGTTTGCCCAGTTTGTTTAAGGGCCAGGACACATATTACAGTTATAACAAAAAAGACACAAATTGCAAATATAATGTTATGAAATATATTCAATTTCATTACTCATTAAAATCAGTTGAGTTGAACACCATGCTGATATATCGCAGGAATTGAAGAAAGTCTCACAAAAGTCGTCTTTAACAATTTCCTGTCTTTTTAGTTTTTATAACGTAATCTGCTGCCACCTAGTATTGAACTCTTCCCCAAAAGTAAGGCACATCAAATCACACTCTTAAAACACAGTTTTTTCACTGGTTTCTAACTAAGAGCTGCCGAAATTAAAACATTAATCATGGTAATTGATTAGTGAGGATTAACCGGATTTAATTTTTTTATAGATGGGCAGAATAACTGGCACTGCATCTCCTACCATTCCACCGTCCACCCACTTATTTTTGTTAGACGATCTTCACAAACTGTAGGAGCTGAAAAAACCATCTCAATGCACAGCATGTGTTTGCGGAGGCGTCAGCTTCAGGTCACTCCAGCGCGGGGCAAAGTCACCGAGCGCGGGGCAGTAAATAAGTCCACAAATGACAAGTTGACTGACACAATTGTCAAACGGAACGCCGAGGAGTGTGGACTGATTAATACTGTTCAGGTTTCACTGCAGTTTGGGAAGTAAGTCTTGACGTGTTCTACAAACCCAGCCGTCAGGATGCACTGCTATGACTAACACCCGGCCACTCTGAGGCCAAATTTAGAGTTTTACAATTTTTCTTGACAACGTTCCGCACCTATAACTCCATCACTTGGATTAGTCATGAATAAAAACAGATACTTATTTCTGTTACAGAAAATTATTTTTTATTCATGGTTATGGTTGTATTTAATTATGATTAATCCAGAGCTCCCCTGCGATTAATCTGAGTAAAATATTTTTATCGATTTACATCCCTATTTTTTTAATTGACGTTTCTTCTTCACTTCTTTATCGTCTTTCTTTAATTTGAATTATTTCATGTCCTTTATTTCCTGCTGTGTTTCTTCATGCTTTTAACTGTGTAAAACACAAACTTCTGCAGCTGAATGAGCCAATGACGTCAGGGGGATTTACTGTATCTAAGACAACAAACTGGCTCTCCTCAGGAAGGGCCGTTTGCTAACACGTGAACATGTGCATTGAAAAGACCACACGACCCGATCTCGGTCCGAACAGAAAGCTCCTTGGTGGCTGCCTGGTTCGCTGCGAGTGAAGATGAATAATTTAAAGAACACAAAGAAATCAATATGGCATCTTTAGTTAATTTGATTTGCCACATTAGAGTACAACCGGCTGCCCCATCTAATTACATACACATATGCTTGGATAATTGTTGCAAAGTCAATAGCAAACGGGGAACATTCCTTTGAATAATTTTT